TGGCGCTCCAGCAGGTGTCCCGGAGGGTGTGGAGAGGAAATTTTACCCCTCCAGGGACAGTTAGCAAAGCCTGGAGACATTTTTTGTTATTCCAACTGGCATTTAGTGGGTAGAGGCCCAGGATGCCACTAAACATTCTGCAATGCACAGAACGGCCTCCACACCAGAGAACCGTCAGCTCAGAAGGTCGAGAGCGCTGAGGCTAAGAAACTCTCGTCCGGGGCGGGGAGAAACCCACAAGGGCAGAAGTTTCTAATGAGTTCCAAACACCCACTGCAGGCCAAACACTTTGTCAAACACAGATCGCAGTCACTGAATACTCAAAACATTATTGTGAGGTTTAATCGCCATCCTCATTTTACAGTTAGGGAAACTGAAACTTAAAGTGGTTTTTAAAAGGGGGCAGCTTGCCCAAGATCACCATGCCGGTCAACACAGAGCCGGATCTCAAAGCTGAACTGAGGCCACAAAGCCTGAGCTTCCCCCTCCAAGCTGGACCACCACTCACCGTTATAAAGCCCCACCCTATGCTGGTCACTCTGACATAAGCATCTTCTGGACCCTATGGGAAATGGGAAATGGTGGGAAAAGTGGGGCCTTTGGCTTCCTGTGGACCTGAATTCAATGCCCTGCTCTGCCATTTTTACCTGCCACACAACAGGTTATGGGCATGCTAGTGAAACTCTCTAGGCCTCAGCTGCCTCATCTGTAAAATGGGCTGATAATGTGATCCATCAGAGGGTTTTCATGATATTTCACTTTGAACAGTGCCCAGAGCATCGAGGACCTCAACAAACAGTAGCTCTAAGTGTGATTGTTACTAATGAGTTTGAAATTCAGAGCCACAGAGGTGCTGACTTTCATTAGGGAAGTGGGGCCATGTGGGGCGAGTAGGAGGAACTGAAGGTGGAGGGTGAGAAGGGGAGGGGGTTTGGAGGGTGGTGGGGAGTTGTTCCTACGGCTGCCAGAACTCTTGCCTCTAACTCCCCTCTGCGCTCCTTCCTTTGGGGAAAGCCTTGTATTTTGTTTACTGGTGAAAGTAACAAAAAGTAATGATTCTCTGTCTCACCAAATACCCAAATCTATAAAGTTCCAAACAGGACAAACCCGGTCTAGAGAAGCAGGCTGATGTGAGGATGGGGGAACTTCCCTGCAGCTTGCTAGGCCACCTGACTTCGAACCTCACCCTGGCTTCGAACCTCTCCCACCCTGGCCTTCTCTCCAATGGAAGGGAAGAGAACTAACACTTCACAACCTGTTCTGTACAAGTGCTTTTGACACAGCTCTTCCAATTTTCCCAGAAGCGCCTATGAAGTCCTGGCATTCCCATTTCACTGTTAGGGAAACTGAGGCCCAGGGAGGTTTATTAATTTTCCCAAATTGCATAGCTGGGAAATGGAGATCTAAGCCCTGGCTCCAATGCTGGTGTCTTTAAACACTTCACCTCAAGCCCAGGGCGCTTATGCAAGATGGTGGTGGCAAGACTGATGGAGTCCACGAGGAGCTTCTCTCTAGCTCCTATCCCACTGGTATATGTTGGCCACGGTGAGCATATTCCCCAAGTCCCAGACCAGCCCCCTGGTCTGAAGAGATTAGTGTACTCAAAGGGCACAGGGGACTGAGAATCAAGACCCTCTAGAACAGCACCAAGAGAACTTTTTTGCAATGATGCAAATGTTCTATATCTATGTATCCGATATGGTCACCACCAGCCACAGGTGATGGTACATGTGAAATGTGGCTAGCGTAACTCAATTTTCCATTTTATTTTATTTTAAATAATTGAATGTCAAAGTTTAAATAGTCACAAATGGTCAGTGGCTTCCATACTGGACAGTGCAGAGAAAATGTAGGACTCTCAGTCTCTGAGCTTTGTGCCAACCATGTGCTTCTGAGAGCTCCCTTCCACAGGAGTTTCAGGTTTAAGATCCATTAGCCCTCAACTGCTCCGGGCACCTGGATGAGAAAGCCTCTTGGATGAGCTGACCTCATAAAGGATTGTCTCATTCATGTTTCCAGTCTACAGACACGTGCTGAGACCCTACTGCTTGTCAAGCCCAAACTGGGTATGGGTACCATCCCAACCCAGAAGGAGCTCTTTAACTAGGAATAGTTAAAGAATAACAATAATCATGACATAATGATAATAATGATGGCGAGGGTAGTGCTGATGACGATGGTGATGACGATGGTGATGATCGTGATGGCGATGATCATGATGATGGTGATGGTGATGGTGAATGATGATGCTGTTGATGACAAAGGCAATATATGTGTGGCAAGAATACGGACTTGGAGTCACTCTCTGGATTCAAATGCACATTCCACCATTTACTAGCTATGAGACCATGGGCAAGTCATTTGGCCTCTTTAACCCTCAGATCTCTTTTGAAAAATAAGGTTAATAAAAGCATGTTTCCCTAAGGTGGTTGAGAGCATTAAATAAGATATATAATGTGCATAGCATAGCCTGACACATAGGGAGGACCAATTAAATGTTAGCTATTATTATTATTATTATTATACAGTACCACTGATTCAGGGCACACTATTTCCCAAATTGTTTTACACAATCTCAATTAGTCTTCACACTGACTCTACTCTCCTTCCCATTTGACAGGTAAGAAAACTGAGGCTCAGATAAATTTAAAGGATTTGCCCAGGTTCTTAGAGCAAGTGGCAGTGCTGTGATTTGAGCCCCGGTCTACATGTCTTCAAAACTTTTTAAGTTGCTTAATTGCCCAGGATGCTACAAATCAGAAACGTTAGGGGCTCTCAACATGGCACTTGCAGAAAGAAAGAAAGAGCTGTGTGACATGGATAAGTCCCTTCACTTCTCAGATCCTCAGGTGCCTTGGCCGTGAAACACTGTACAGATGTTACAGAATCACATGGGTGAGTAAATAAGACAGCCCGTGTAAAAAGCGTTTCATGGGGCTTCCCTGGTGGCACAGTGGTTGAGAGTCCGCCTGCCGATGCAGGCGACACGGGTTCGTGCCCCGGTCCGGGAAGGTCCCACATGCCGCGGAGCGGCTGGGCCCGTGAGCCGTGGCGGCTGAGGCTGCGCGTCCGGAGCCTGTGCTCTGCAACGGGAGAGGCCACAACAGTGAGAGGCCCGCGTACCGCAAAAAAAAAAAAAAAAAAGCGTTTCATGGAGCTTTTGCACATGGAACACTCATTAACAGCTCACTTTATCAACTAGCATTAAATCACTGAGCGTAAGCCTGGCACACAGGCTATGAACGCTGCCCCCTGACCTTTTCTCCATGCCCCCAGCCCCTTTAACGACACAGCACTAATCTCCAAACTGTTTTATCTCAGTGGGACAAAGGCAAGTGTTATTTCCCCACATGGCTTTTCACTGCCTGGCAAGGCACAGTGCGGAGGGAAGCAGTTCCCGGAAGCAGTTCTCTGCAGGGCCGCGCCTCTGCCGCAGATCCTCCCCGGGGCTGGGGGTGACCCGCCGCCCCTGATTGTCACCCTGGGGAATCGAAGTGCAGAGGCTCTGTGAGAAACCCTGAAATTACTAACAATCAGCTGGGGTCAGAGCTGCCGGGGGAAGGGAGAAGGTATTTATAAACCGGGCGTCAGTGACTGCGCCCTCGGGAACCCGAGAGGGCAGCAGGCTCCCCACCCCGCAGGGAAACCAAAGAGGAAAAACACCAACACGCTCCGAGCTTGGGCCCGGTCAAAAGCCACAGAGGGTGCATCCAGTCCCCTTGTTCTAAATTTAGAACATTCAGCCAAACCAGTTCTCCGGCTCACCCAGCATCTCTCCCCTTGGCTGGACCGGGACGTTCTTCCAAGAGCCAACCACACAGATGGGAGCCCAGATCCCAACCCACTTTGTCTCCGTTTTTGTTCCCATCGCACCGACAGCCAGGACCCCTGGGGCCTTTCTCACACCTGAGACAGCGAGTTCAGATGTTCTTGCTGGCTGCTGACGCCAACCAGCTGCAGATCCTCAGACAAGCATCTCAAGCTTCCTACGTCTCAGATGTTCATCTATAGCATGAGTGAACCTAACCCAGTGGCATATGGTGGGCACCCAACCCTTGTGGCTGGACCGAGATGGAAACTGGAACCTGAAAGTCCCTGTTCTGAGTCTCTCTTTCCTTCTCTTTGACAAAGTTCAATACATTTACTTAAATATTACCTGTGTGTTCCAGGCTCTATTTTTAGGACAGGGATAAAAACAGGGGTCATGGTAATTGTAATCAAAATGTATTTCTCTATCCTTGACCCTCATCTACCATTGAGTGGCATCTAGCCCATCTTTAAAGGCCTCCTGTTATTCTAGTACCACTACCTCCGCTGATAACTGCAATAATAATAATAATAACAGCAATAACCATAGCAACTAGCAGCTACTGAGGACTTACTGTGTACAGACATTTGGTAATTTTATATAATTTAATTATTTATAGCACATATATCTATCTATCTCAGAAACAAGGTTCATTTGACCCAACAATTTAAATTATACAACAGCAATACCGGGGACTTCCCCAGCGGTCCAGTGGTTAGGACTCCATGCTTTCACTGCCAAGGGCCCGGGTTCGATCCCTGGTGGGGGAACTAAGATCCCACAGCCAGGAGACGTGGCGAAAAAAAATAAAAATAAATGTAAAAACCAGCAATATCAATAACAATGCTCTTCTTATTCTCTCATGTAATCCTCACGTTGGCCCTATGACACGTGGCCTCACCTCCCTGATTGAGTCCACAGGGGCGTCGTACATAAACTCAAGAACACGCCCCTCTTGGGTACCCCATGGAATCTGACTGCCATGTATCCCTCCTGGCCAGTTCGGGCTCCACCTCTCTATGGGAGGGTCACTGTTGTCCCCAAAGCACCATCGCCCTGCACTATGCCCTCTAGCATGACGTCATGCTATGCTCCAACAGCCACCCCAACTGGGAAAGTACCTGTCCCCATTTTGCTACATCCTGTTTCCCTGGTTACGAAACCCCGCAGCCGTGGGCGCTCAATGTCTCACCACGTTTTGATGGGTAGCAGGCCTCTGATTTTGTGCTCAGGATTTATGGTAGCTGCCTTGCCCTTGAGAGTTCAGCAGGGAAGTGCGTCCCTCACACAGCCCTGTTCTTGGTCTGGAGTCCATCTTCCCTCAGAATGTTTCTTTCCAGAGGCCTTGGGCAAATAACCCCATGAGGCCACTCCACCATCCTCTAGACTGGCCCGGATATCACCGCCGCCCAGGTGAACAAAAGAGTTTGTGCTGCCCAGCTGGGACTTCCACTCAGAAGATGGAGCTGCTGAACGGCCATGTCTTTGGGTTATCTTCTTAGTCCCGGGCTGGTTTCACAATGACTCATCCGTGGTCTCCCTCTGCTGTTGTAAGAAGCCCTGTGCATTGCTGAGACAACTGGTTAGCAGTACGAGTGCTTCTCTGCTCATGGTAAGTGCCCTGTGATGCAGGCTAAATCCCCTTCCTGCGTCCATGCACTCATCTCATCAGGAAGGTAAAGGGTTCTTGTGAGGTCAAACTCACGACTTCACCCCTTCAATTCCACATCCCCACCCCATGGGCTAACTGTAAGGAAGATGAGGTTCTGAGTTGTCGACCAGAAATTCCAAAGCAAGATGTGCTTGAACTCTGCGCGTGTTTGGAATGAAGAAGCATCCCCCGATGTGCAATGACCATTGTCAACTGTAAGAACAGCCTGGCCCACACGGCACTGTGACGATGGCAGCTGGCTTATGAAACGTTCTTGAAAGAAACAGCCCTGGCCACTTGGCTCCCGGCTGCTACTTGCTACTCACCACGAAACTGCACGTGTTTGAAAAGTTGATGACATCTGGAGTTTCGGTCTTAATCAGGCTGCTTTTGGCACTACCTTTCCTGGCATGGAGCTCATTCTGGGTATTTTTCAAACTTGTATTTAGAGAATTCCATAGAAAAACCCCTACGCTGAATCTTGCTAAAGCCACAGATTGAAATTCCTTGACTTGCACATTTGTCTCATGGTTTGACGTGTATGAACACCGAGAAAGTTAGACCAGAGACCGTAAAGGTACAGCACCAAGCTATAACTAGATAGATTTCCCTCCATCTCCAGCCTCAGGCCCAGCTCTGCCATGTCCCAGGTGTGAAGCTGGCAAATCACTTCTCTGGGTTTCTCTAACTTTGTCTAAAAAATTGGGGGAAATGACGTATGTAAAGCACTCAGAAATTACATATTTTTAAAACAGAAGACCACTTTTAAAAAGCATAACTATCGTGTCATTATCCCACCAAAAAATTTACCAATAACTCCTCAGTATTATTCACACACACACACACACAGTTTTTTTGTTCAAATCAGGATCTGACATAATCTTCACATGGCATTTGGTATGTATGTCTCTCCTAAATTCCCTCCTTCCGTTGATATTTTCTCCTTTGAAATTCATCTGGTAAAGGAACCAAATGCTGAAACACTTTGTTCTGTACTTCTCCACATTCTGGATTTGATTAATTGCATTGATGGAGTTTTAACATATTTCTCTCCCATATATTACCTGGACATTGCAAGTTCTATTTGGAGGCAGGTGGTATTGTGTTTTGCCATGAGGAGGAAAATAATGTCCAGTTGTCTCACTTTTGGTGAAATTAACAGGAATGGTGATCATTACCAAAATTTAATAACTCATGAGGGGTTGCGACTCCATCATTTTTTTTTTAAATTTTATCTTTGGCTGCATTGGGTCTTTGTTGCTGCGCACAGGCTTTCTCTAGTTGCGGGGAGCGGGGGCTACTCTTTGTTGCAGTGCACGGGCTTCTCATTGCAGTGGCTTCTCTTGTTGCACAGCATGGGCCCTAGAACACGTGGGCTTCAATAGTTGTGGCACGCAGGCTCAGTAGTTGTGGCTCGTGGGCTCTAGAGCGCAGGCTCAGTAGTTGTGGCACATGGGCTTAGTGGCTCCGTGGCATGTGGGATCTTCCTGGACCAGGGCTCGAACCCATGTCCCCTGCATTGGCAGGTGGATTCTTAACCACTGTTCCACCAGGGAAGTCCCTCAGTCACTTTTAAGAGCACAAAAGGGGCCTAAGACCAAGAAGAATGAGGACCATCAGTACAGAGTAAAGGTCACAGAGCTTAAAACAAGACCACCCCACATTACAAACCCAGCAGCTGCCATTTACTAGCTTGGACTAGTTATGGACTTGGAAAAGTTACTTAACCTCTTTGAGACTCAATTTCATTCTCTGTAAAAAGAAGATCATAATATTACCCAACCAACTGGCTTGCTGTAAGGATTAAACAATGGATATAAAAGGCAGTGTATGAGAGCTGGAGGAACCATACTCCCCTACTTCAGACTATACTGCAAAGCTACAGTAATCAAAACAGTGTGGTACTGGCACAAAAACAGACACACGGATCAATGGAACAGGATAGAGAGCCCAGAAATAAACCCATGCACTTATGATCACTTAATCTATAACACAGGAGGCAAGAATATACAATAGAGAATAGACAGTCTCTTCAATAAGTGGTGCAGGGAAAACTAGACAGCTACATGTAAAAGAATGAAATCGGAACATTCTCTAATACCATATGCAAAAATAAACTCAAAATGGATTAAAAACCTAAATGTAAGACCACATACCATAAAGCTTCTGGAGAAAAACATAGGCAGAACACTCTTTGACATAAATCACAGTGATATTTTTTTGCATCTATCTCCTGAAGTAAAGTAAATAAAAGCAAAAATAAACAAATGGGACCTAATTAAACTTAAAAGCCTTTGCACAGCAAAGGAAACCATCAACAAAACAAAAAGACAACCTCCTGAATGGGAGAAACTATTTGCAAAAGATGTGACTGATAAGAGATTAATATCCAACATACATATAAACAGCTCAACATCAAACAAACAACAAATAACCCAATTAAAAATGGGCAGAAAGGGCTTCCCTGGTGGTGCGGTGGTTGAAGGTCCGCCTGCCGATGCAGGGGACACGGGTTCGTGCCCCGGTCTGGGAAGATCCCACATGCCACGGAGCGGCTGGGCTGGTGAGCCATGGCCGCTGAGCCTGCGTGTCCGGAGCCTGTGCTCCAGAACGGGAGAGGCCACAACACTGAGAGGCCCACGTACCACAAAAAAAAAAGGGCAGAAGAACTAAATAGACATTTTTCCAAAGAGGAAGTGCAGATGGCTCTTGTTGGTGGTGGCATGGATGGATATTATTGAAGATGTGGGGAAGCCTAATCTCTCTCGGTTTCTTAATTGGGAACACTAAAGGTAGAAAGTGGGATATCAGGATGGATTGATTAATGGGAGTACAACTATCCAAGTTGAGCTCCCTGGTAAAACATGAGTAGAAAACACCACAGGACCGCCTACCTACCTTCTACCCCCAAGTGAATCTATTCCTTCTCCTCCCCTCATTTGAGACAGAGAAGCCAACGAATGGTAGCCCTCTTCCCAAGGGGGAACACCCAACCCCAGGGGAGAGATGCATATTTTTGTCTCCAGGACTTAGTCTCTCATTGAAAAACAAGGTCCAGTAGATGCTGGGTTCTCACTGATCAGGGGAGCACCCTCCTCGCCCATAGAGATATCTGAACACGGGGTGGAAGGAGGTGGGAGCTGTCACCCCAGCACCTTGGAGACACTGATGGGATTTCCTATAGGACAAGCAAAGGTGGGAATATGGGGAGGGAGAGAGGGCTTACCCCCGCAGTAATGAAAATTTGAAAGCGCCTTCTGTGGCTAAAATCTCCCCAAAATGATAATACCAGATGCTGACAAGTATATGGAGCCACAGGAACTCTCGCTCACTACTGGTGGGAATGCAAAATGGTACAGCCGCTTTGGAAGACAGCTTGAGAGTTTCTTACAAAGCTAAACATAGTCTTTGCATACTATTCAGCAATTGCACTCCTACGTTTACTCAAATAAGGTGAAAACTTATATTCAGACAAAAAACTGCACGTGAATATTTACAGCAGCTTTACTCATAACTGCCAAAACTTGGAAGCAACCAAGATGTCCTCCATTAGGTGAATGGATACAGACACTATGGGACATCCAGACAGTAGAAATATAATCCAGCAATAAAAAGAAATCAGATGTCAAGTCACAAAGAAAACATGGAGGAAACTTAACTGAAATAAGCCCATTTGAAAAAGCCACATACTGTATGAGTCCAACTATATGACAGTCAGGAAAAGGCCAAATGATTGCTGTGTAACAACATACCACAAACTTAGCAGCTTAGAACAACATGAATTTATCATCTCACACTTTCCATGGGTTGGGAGTTGGGGCACAGTGTAGCTGAGTTCTTGGCTCAAGGTCTTGAGGCTGAAATCAAGGTGTCCCTTGGGGCTTGGCTCTCATCTGAGGCTCGGGTCCCCTTCCAATCTCACTCAGGGTTTTGGAAGAATTCACTGCCTTGTGTTTGTAGACTGAGGTCCCTGTATTCTTGCTGCAAGCCACAGACTGGTGGCTGATCTCAGCTCCTAGAAACCTCCTGCCATTCCCTACCATGTGACTCTCTCCCTTTGGTCTCTCAAGTCTGAATCTCTGAATACTCCATCGCTGACCTCTAGTCTCATAATGGTTCAACTGATTAGGGCAGGCCCACCTGCACTCAAGAACAGGGGATTATGTGGGGGTTTGCAATCTTGAAGCCATCTCAGCCTTCTGCCTACCATAGCCCCAAATCATTAAGCAGCTTTCTTAAACTAGACAGACTTGGTCTCCATCTGCAAAAGACACCAAGAAAGACCAAAGATAAGAAAATTATTTTATTTTTACACCCCCAGGATCAAAGCAGAAACACTTCTGTTTAGAAAAGAGAAAGAGCTGCAAAAAAAAAATTGTTTTCTTTTTTAAAAAATAAAACAGCCATTTTCCCCTTCCTCCTGTAAGTCAGGAAATATCCACCAGGAAGAGTTAAGTTTCTTTCACTCAAATTTGATTGAGTACCCAATGTTTGTAGGCACTATAGAAAGTAAAGGTAAATTTTCCTGCCCTCAAGGAGCAAACTGAACCGAGAATCCCATTCACTCATGTGTTCATTATTTCATTTCTTTCTTTTCATTCAGGAAACATCATGTGGGCTCTCCCTCTGTGCAAGGCACAAAGTGCTGGAGATTTAAAACTGGTTTTTGCCTGCAAGCAAACTCACAGGGTAAAAGCAACATCTTGAGTTGCAATATCATTTAATATTATTTTCAACTGCTTTAACGACAGTATCAGTTCTGACAGTTTGAATACAGTATACAGAAATCAGATTGTGGGTAGCATGGTGCAGTTGAAAGAAAAGAAGCCTTGGAATCTAAACCCAAATGATCAAGTTGACATCACCAGTGACGGAACAAATGGGCATGATGGGATGCACTCTGAAAGATATAACATTGCTTCTGTAATCGTCCTGCCAAAAATGCAGAGCCTGAATTTAATAATGGGGAAGGATGAGACAAACCCAAATAGAGGGGCATCCTACAAAATGTAACTAGCCTGTTATATTCTCTTCCAGCTGTCAAGGTCTAGAAAATCTTAGTTCCAGATTAAAGGAGAGTAAATAAATGTGATGCGTGATCTTGGATTGGATTCTGGACCAGAAAAAGGACACTCATGGGACAATAGGTAAAGTCT